ATCATCATCATCATCATCATCATCATCATCATCATCATCTCCTTTATGGCGACAGATTTGTCACAGCAGCTTTAAGTCTTTGCACTTTTCTTCTCCATTAATTACTTTTGCATCACACCAGGTTATCTTTAAGGAAATTCCCCATGCATTGTTGAAGCATGTTAACTGTTTTTGTCCGATTCACTGTAAAAATGTCCAAAGTTGCCACCCCAGAGTGTCTACATGCACAGCAGCATGGTGAGTTTTCTGTTTGAGACACAGTTTGGGAACTCGTGCTGTTGCCTCCTTGTTGTTAAGTTTCTTTGTTTTACTGATTTCTCTGCATGCTTTGAATATTTGAGTCACAGCTTTTATGTTCAGTAGCTTGTCGACTAATCGTGATTTAAAGAAGTGTTCTTTGAAACAAAAAGTGCAGCATGTGTGCATTCAGGTCTGAAACAGAAAATCAGGTGCTTTTGTGCAGTGTTAACACATTTTCAGTACCTTAAATAGAGCCAATTTCTTTCAGATTAACAGATTCAGAGATATTTGGGTGTGGCATGGTAGTCTTTACTGAGCCCAGAGAGCTGTGAAAAGTGGTGACAGTAGTAACAGTAACTTTATTTTTATATTTAAGAAAGAAGCACAAAGACAGGAACGTTTTCACCAACAGAAGATATAAACTTTAGATGAAAGAGGAAGTATAAAGTGTTTTGTTGGAGCGCTGATATCGATGTGAGCACACAGACATGATGTAACAGCAAGAAAATGCTGATATCACCACAGACGGGAAGTAATAGGAGAGGGTAGGATTCAAACCATCAGGGCCAAAAACAGAACAGGATCAAATAAACAGAAAGAAAACATTTTAAATTTACTTTCACTTCAGTTTCTTCTTTTTCTTTTCTTCTTGGTTTTTTTTTTTTGCCTCAGTGATTTAACTTCTTAGCTTCCTCCTCGAGGTCCCTGAAGGAAAACCGGTTTACTTAAACGAGTCCCGCAGGAATGTAGCGTGTGCTGCAGGGTCAAAAAACATTTCTACACACAGATTAGTGAACAAGGCCGAATTCTAGCATTACTTCATGACTCCACCCATTCCTCCAAATATGGTCACTTCAAGAAAACAAGATGGTGGCGATGAAAAACGCCAATGCTGAGGCGTCAGAAATTGTCCGTGAGGAAATGTGAGGAGTGCATGACAAAATAAACAATAATAGATTAGCTCAATGTACATCACCTGGTGATGGTTTGTTGCTAGTGGACTTTTCTGACTACAGTTGCCTAGGTAACCCTCTGTCCTTCGCTCTGCCTGGTTGTCACTTTGCCTCCTACTTTGTGCCACCAGTGGTCACTTTATTTCATCACCTAAAATCATCGACTTTCTACAGTCGCTGGTAGCCACGCCCCTGCTGGGATGCTGCTGGTCATTTCCTGTGTTCGCCCTCTAATATCAGTGTACTGGTTTGTTGTGTTCACTGACCACAGGCAGTAGGATTCTCAGGTTTTAAAACCTTTTCAGACGTGTTTAACAGCTCATGTCGAGGCCTGAGTCAGTGGTTTCCAGAGTTGCAATTTTATGTTGTTAAATAAAGTGAAATCATTTCTTTTCACCTGTAAATGAACCTTAATCTGAACCTAGCCAATCTCTGACCACTCCACTTTTTCTTCTGTGCATCAGGTACCTGTCCGGTAAATGCACCGTCTACAAGCTGTTCGGGCTGTGCATGGTGCTGGTCCTCGTCTCTCTGCTCTGGCTGCAGCTCAGCTGTTCAGGTGACATGTCTGCGACGCACGGAGAACGATGCATGCCCCAACAGCCGGCGCCACCCTGCCCGGCCAGCGGTCAGGCGTTCGTGGTGGACGACCTGTCTTGGGGGCCTCACAAACTGGCCGTCGTAGTTCCCTTCAGAGAGCGCTTTGAGGAGCTGCTGGTGTTCGTTCCCTTCATTCACGCGTTCCTCAACAAGAATAAGATCCGCCACAAGATCCTCATCATCAACCAGGTGGATCACTACAGGTGAGGCATCCTCTCCAACCACAGAAGAAAATATGTCAAACAGGTGGCCCAGGGATCAGAACCGGTTTGCTGTTGCTCACTTTGATGGCCACTTTTCAATAAAATGCTGCATTTACAGAGGTGGGAAAATGTGGGAAATGAGAAATATTTCTGGATCTGTGTGATTGTTTAAGTCAGAAAGATGAAACATACATTCAGTTAGAGAAAGTCAACACCCGAAGGTTTTAGCCACACTGCTATAATCTGTACTTTGTAATGTAGTGAATGTAGTGACAGGAAACTGCAATGCAAATGACTGTTTATCATCTTTTTAATAAATATCACCTCCTGTGATCAGTTAAATCTCAGAGGAGACAATGGTTTCAGCTTTGTTAACACGTTAGTTCTCAACATGTTATAGAGCAGTGACGTCATTGGATGTTTTTACATCCCACTTTAATCTGTTCATGTACAGATGGATTATTAAATAATAAGAAGTGAAGAGACAGTTACTTAAAACTAGTTTTACATTTGTAATAATTTCTAAAACATTCAAACTTTAACGTTCAGAAGTAACTATGATGACAACAAACAGCCAAGTAATTAATAGGAAATGGTGTGTGTGCGTGTGTGCGTGTGCGTGTGCGTGTGCGTGTGCGCACGCACACAGTATATACTCTGCTGTCATTTACTGATAATTTACACACATGTCCTGAAGACAACCTTCAGTAGTAGGTAGCAGATCTTTAGGACGAGAGCTTGGTGGGTCACATGATCATCCGCTTCAATCCAGCATGTTGTTAAAGCGAATGGTCGCCTTCTTGTTCCAGATCGGGTCGAATATTGTCAGCGTTTCACTGAGCACATTTTTTCACACTCTGAAACAAGAGTGGGTTGTCTCGCCTTCCTTTAGCTTACCTGTACGTATTTACCTGTGCTCTGTCACTCTGCGTTACCTCTGTGGCTTGCAGTGCAGCTGGATGTTCATGTATGATGTCACCAGGTGGGTGTTTGTGGTTAAAGGATGTAAAGAAGTCCACCTCGACAGCTGTGCTGGTTTAAACACTGGTTAACTCCAGTTTTGTTGTCATTTTGTTGAAAAAAAGGTTTCATCATCAAGGGTCAGAGTTCATCTGACCGATATCAGAGGTTTGCAGGTCTAGCAGCTGGTAGATAAAAATGAGTATCGACTGCATAAAAAGTTATAATTAAAGTTGTTTTTGTGAAAGACCTGGAGCCGAGGGTTAACAATGGTGAAAATAAAAGGACCTAAAATGGATCCATGAGGGATGCCACATTTAGGAAAAACAAAGAGAATTTTCCTGCTCAGGCAGAGATTTTAAAAAGAAGGATAATTTAAAACTTGTCATTGCAACAAACAGAGAAATTAGGATAATGTAGATTTCTTACCTGTTCTTTCAGATTTAATCGGGCATCTCTGATCAACGTGGGCTACACGGAGAGTGGTAACGACACCGACTACCTGGCCATGCACGATGTGGACCTGCTGCCCCTGAACGACGCTCTAGATTACGGCTTCCCAGAGAAAGGGCCGTTCCACGTGGCCTCACCAGAGCTTCACCCCCTCTACCATTACAAAACCTACGTAGGAGGAATCCTGCTGCTTACCAAGAAGCATTACCACATGGTACTGAGCCTCGCCACGCCGGCTTTCACACATTTTCAAAGGATCTCCCAGGGCTGCGAGGGTCGCTGTGGCACATTAAGAAGAGTGTCTGGAGAGACACTTACCTGCATTTTAGTATTGTTTAAGACAATAAAGCCAATTTAAGTGTCAAAGCATTGAGCTATATGAGATACCTCTGCTGAACGTCTCTCTTTACTGCTCTTTGCATTGGGGGAAATCTGAGGAGGGAATACATTTTGTCCCTGTGAGGTTAAAAGATTTGTGCATATATATATATATATATATAGACCCTGAAAAGTATAAGCGGAAGTGAATGGATGGATAGACCAGAGTGGGGGTGCAGTTACTCAAATTGTCCACCAGGTGGAGCCATTTAACTGTCTGTGATCTTGGCTATGGTTATATCAGCAGATTTATGTTCTATAGTTTAAAATAACATCATCGATGGTGTTTTTATTGTTGCTCTGCAGCTTTCAAATTTTAAATGAAGCTAATTCTTTGGCTCTGATGCAGAACATGAACTTTTACCCCCCCTGTGTTTCCCTGCAGTGTAACGGGATGTCAAACCGGTTCTGGGGTTGGGGCAGAGAGGACGACGAGTTCTACAGACGGTTGAGAAAAGCAGAGTTACAGGTAACAAAACCAAAAAGAAAAAGACAACAAACATCCTGGTCCTCATATCCGCCACATGGCGTTCATCATTGTTTTTAAAAAAGAAGTTCACAGATGTTGCAAAAAGACTTCCTGTTGGATCCATACCCCCATAAAATTCTGTAAAGGTCTTAGGGATTTGTTAGTCCATGAATATGTGTTGTTCTTCCCAGTGCAGGGTTTAGCATCACCAGTTTTATTCAGTTTAAACTCCTAAAATTTAGCATATTTCATTTGGGTCTTACACATGTGAGTCAGAGTATTTCAAAGGAGGTGCCCCACTGCTGCCTTTCATGTACATGTATGAAATTTGGTACTGTGTAACATACCAAGATGTACCAAAAACCCTCTTGGAGCCACTTCCTAAGCCCAACAGGAAGTTCCACCAATTTGAATTTAAGAGGTGCTTTTTGTTGTGTTTTTGCCATTTCCAGGGGGTTTTACTTTAGTCTGACGATGATGATGTGTGAGGAAGCGAGTTCTTGTTAAAGGGCATGGCTGTGGTGAACTTGGGAATACAACTTGTAATTCATCAAAGTGAATCTTTGTGATGAAAGTCCAGAGGGTGTACTCTCACGGGCTCCTGCTGTTTTTTTTTCAGCAGCTGTTCAGACCGAGCGGCATCACCACAGGATATAAAACCTTCCTGCACGTCCATGACCCAGGCTGGAGGAAGAGGGACCAGAAACGAGTCGCTGCTCAGAAGCAGGTACGAGAATCCACCTGCTGCAGAAAAGCACGACCGGGCGATTTTAAAAATTCCAGCTTGTTTTCATCGAGGCAGCAGAAACTAAAATTCATCAAATAATTTCACGTCAGCTTATAAAGTGATAAAGTCATATCTTGTACCTTCACTCGTCTGCATGACTTGTCAGCTGCGGGTCATTGATTCCCTGAGATGAATTCCAGAAAACAAAAATACTCTTGACTTTATTTTAGTCAATAACTTAACTGGACCTGTTGTACTTTTTCTTAGTACCTGTCACACATCACCTGCTCCAGTGGTGGAGGTTCATAATAAACATGAAGTCTGTAATAATGAGCTAAGTGTGTGAACGGTAACCCCCGAGAGCCAAAAGCTCAGACTGCAGATGCTCCTTACACTCAGTTTACTCGTTTTTTGTTTTTTTTTTTCAACAGTTGGGTCTGTATGATGTTACAGAGAGGGGATATCCCTAATATGGTCGTCTCAGGAGCCTAAACTCCTCCCACCTACTTTCCAGATTCAGAAGCTTGAAAGAAATATCAGATAAAGAAGGATTAGGATTATTCTGAACTGTGAATCATGCAAAGCTCCTTTAAAAGAGTCTAAGACTAAAATATGAGGAGCTGAAAGAGAGAAGGGTGACAGAAAACATTGTCGTAAAAATGTTTCAGCAGTGTAATTTTAATCTAAAACCATAAAATGTTAGCATTACACTAATGCGTGCTGATTGGCTAGTTAAGGATTTAGGTGGCTCCAGCAGACGTTAGGAGCGTTTTCAACGTGCCGCAGAAGCTTCCATGTGTGTAGAAGAAGCAGTTGAAGGTGATGCAGGAGGCTGCTGCTTGCTTCACGCCCCCTTTTGCCTTCCTTTTTACATCCCGCCACCTCCTCGGTTCTCTTCGTGCTCCCTTATCGAACGCCAACATGTTCACAGATCATTTCATGTCACTGCTGCACCCCTCAACTGCTGTCTCGTGTGCCTGAGCAATTATGTGATTGTGTGACAAAGTTAATTTTTTTAGATTTTGTTGTAAACCTGAGCTTTTGCAGTTTTTAAACTCAAAACAATCTCCTCCCCCTCCTCCTCTTGTTCCTTCTCCCTGTAGGAGCAGTTTAAGGTGGATCCGGAGGGGGGTCTGACTAACCTCCATTATGAGGTGGAGTCCCGACAGGAGCTGACCATCAGCGGCGCCCCCTGCACTGTCATCAACACCAAACTGGAATGCGACCAGAACCAGACGCCCTGGTGTCTTCTGGGATAGCGGGCAGCTGGTTTGAGGACAGCGGTTCCTGTTTCTGACTCTTTTACGGATAAATCTGCAGCTGGAGCGTCCAAACAAATGTTTAATTTACTCTTTGAGGTACATCTCCACATGAAAACTGCTGTATTAGTAACAATAATTAATAACAAATGATCCGAAGATGGTTTGTCGGCGTCTGACCTCTGACCTCAGCAGCCTGGACGGATCCAGTTCAGGACTCATGTTTTTCTGCTCTTCCTGGTACCTGCTGGCACGGCGTGAACGCAGACCTGCAGCCTGTTTTTTAGCTTTTAGACTCAGCTCGGGGCCGTGCAAATACATGCAGAGAGCGCTGCACACTTCTCCGGGCGTCACGAGTGTCCGTTACTCCTGTATCATGTGAGCGTCACAGGACTGATTTTTTTTCTTTTTACCCACGATGGAGGTAAAGATGGAATAAAAACTCATCAGTCAGTGAAGTGAAAGTGTTTTTATTGTCCTGCTGAAATTGAGTCATTCCTTCATGTATTTTGTTTTTTTGTTTTCTTTTTAGGGAAGACTTTGGTCAAAATGGACGCTTGTAGGAGTGTTGGGGTCACTGTATGCTGATTTTACATTTCAGAAATAAACTCTCTGTTTCAACCCATCTGTTTGTCTTCTGGCTGGTATTAAACCACCGCTCAGTCATATTCACAGTTTAAACTTTTGTTGTTTTTTTTCTTCTTTTTTTTTTTCAGCAGTAAAAGTCACTTCCGGGTTACGGCACTTGTGTCCAATGGACAAAACAAAAAATCTTAATGGGATGTGTGTGTTATTCTTTTTGACTGTTTTATTTTGAAAAATGAATGAATTAATGATACATTGATTCGTTAACTTTGGTGGTGTGAGAAACCAACACTCCCGGAAAAATCCTGTACAAGCACGGAAGTGTGTGCCCGCAATGTTAAATTAAGGAAATTTACTTAAGTACTATTCTGTAATTTTGATCATTTCCAGTTTGGCTCACTGGATTTAAAACTGCTCTTGCTGCAGTTCTCTGATTTGAAAATAAGAGTCAACCCGCTGGAGTGGAAAGGTCTACGAGGGATTTCTGACCTGCAGCTAACAAACAGTTCCTGCAAAATCCAATACTTACATTATGGTTTAAATATATTGTTATCTGATGGATTAGATACCTGAGGGAAGTGATCGGTGATGTTGCAGAGCTCTGTGTGTGCAATGCAAAGTAAAGATCTCTCTGTATGACATCATAAAGAGCCAGCAGCAGAAAAAAGGCACATGACACTGAGTGTATATCAGAGTTTGAATAACTTACACTGATTATTTATTATTTATCATGTTTCATATTGACCTCCAGGACTGGAACAGTAGCTACACAACAGCAAATGGACACAAACACTTCCTAAAGGAGCCTTTAGACTCACAGTTTGTCTTCGCGTTTCTTGTCTAACAGCAGCGTTAACACATGTTGATTAGCTCGGCTTTGTTTCACTGCTGGATATCAGCCACTCGTGGCTCCCTGGAGGCCTCTGAGGGCCCCTGAAACCCCCCCCATCATTTCTAGCAAACAGAAACCAGCTCAGATGGTACAGCTGTGGATTGTAGGGGATGAGCCAAATTCGGCAGTGGAGACAAAGAGAAGAGGATGGGGTGAATCTACACCTTCACCCCCCTCTGAGCTGTTCCCCACTCTGGGTGCAATTTTCACCTTTTGTTGGAGGTGACTGCGATGGGGAAAAAAACACCTCCACGCTGCTACAAATAGACCCGAGCAGCACTCCTGCTCTGCAGCTCTGTGCTAATTTTTTTAATTCCCCACTCAGTGATTATAGTGCTTTATCGGAGCAGTAATATCAGATAATGGAAATTGTATAGTAATAACTGAGAGAGCTGGGCGCCGCGGTTCACACGTATTTATAGACACCGAGGGCTCGGGAGCAGATGTGACGCCGACACTTAATTTTCAGCCTTAGTTAATGAATGTAAGGCATTATGCTTCTATTATGAAGCAATTAGCAAAAAATAAAATATAAACTTGAGGGATGAGAGGCTGCAATCATGTTTACTCCACGGCTAATAAAACACAGAGGGACCAGACAGAGGCAAAACAACCAAACGGCTCATCTGGAGGTTTTTCTCCTGGAACAAACGCAGCTTTTACACGCATGTGCAGAGCTGCTCAGCACTGCTTTCTCTGTTTGAACCATGTTTGTTTAGTGTTCAGTTTTCATCCTCAAAAACACCTGTGAGACGCTCAAAAACGCCTCGTTTCCATTCAGCCTTTGCCGTGTCCACCTCTTTAGTAAATCTGCTGCAGATTTCTGGTGAGCCGATCCATGAATTTAAAGTTTAATCAGACATTAAAACACACCACAAAGTTTTACAGTGCTCATGAAGGAAAAATAACCTCATTTTATTCCCCATCTATTTTCTTTCTCCTGTATACGCTTTTTATCTGTCTAAACTCCATATTTCCAGCTCAAAATAATCTCAGTTTGTTCTTTCTATGAAACAACGACTTTTAGCTCCTCCTTCAATACAGCTTTGTTCCGATTGGCTGCCTCAAAGTCTGACCATAAGGTGGGTGGAGTTTCTGCCTCTGAGCTGACTATATTAGGTGTATCCTTTTTTTATGACATCATACGGATCCAACAGTAGAAAAAACTGTAATAAACTGAGTGTTTAGAGTATCTGCCGCCTGAGCTTTGTCTCACATGGATTAGTGTTCATACGCTCACATCATTATATATGAATGTCCACTGTAGCAGGAGACCAATGAGAGGAAATAAGGGTCCACTTTAATTTATTTTTTGCATCTGAAAGCAAACTCCAAAAACAGACTTCATCCATTATCCCTGTCAGGGCATCGTCTTCTTCACAGTCAGTGTTACAGTCTCACAGAGCTGAAAGTGAGGCCGTAGACTCACATAATGTCACACCATTTTCACCCACAGCACTCCTGTTATTGTGGGGAAGAAACAGTCACCAAAAAAGGGGAGAGGATATTGTAAAAGTGCTGCTTTTCTGCATTGTCTGTGCATGTTGATGCTTGGAAACAGGACAGAGGTGCAGAGTGATCTTCAGTCCAGCTACACTGGTGTGGAGATTATTTTTAGCAACAGGAACTTGGCTTTTTAAAAACTCCGGTCCAGCAGTTAAACTTCCTGCCCATTGTTTTTAAGAGGATCGAAACCTCGACAAGTTTTAGTTAATTTACAGTGTCGCCGTCTGGTAGATGTCCCAATCCTGAAACCCAGCTACGAGTTTTAATATTTGGATGTGGAGGGATGTGGCTCTCCTGGAAGACACTTTCAAGAGAAATCCAGTCCTTCCTGAAAAATCTGTGTGCTGCATTTCCATAATACATCGGGATTCTTCTTAAGCTTTGAACGGGCAAAGTTGGGCTCTTTGGTTGGCTAAATGTTTATAACGGTGATTCACACCATAACATCTGATGTCAGTGCCAGCAAACCGCAGAAACCCAAGCTTTTGCTGAATAGGTAGCTCCTGTACTTCCTCAACCTTTTTGGTTGTTCCATTCAAACGGCATCAGTGGAGCGACCTTTATGAGCCATCTTCACCCATCAAGGGTTGTTGGCAGTGTGTCGATGGGATGCAACAATCTGCAGACCTTACTTTGAGAGTCAGTTGTGAAAGGATCCCGGCATGTTCATCAGCCATTGTGGGATGTGTCGGAAAGCCATGGGAACTTGTTCCGTTACATTTAGACGGAACCGGACAAAGTAGGACATGTCTGTTTTTAATATTTTAACCCATGCCGAAATCGGACGGAAAATAAGCAAACCGTGATTTACAAAGTTTCAGTCGGTGCATATTTATATGGGCAGCACGGTGGCACAGTGGTTAGCACTGTTGCCGCACAGCAAGAAGGTCCTGAGTTCAATTCCAACATCAGGCCGGGGTCTTTCTGTGTGGAGTTTGCATGTTCTCCCCGTGTTTG